ACATTTCCAGACAGTAAGATGTTACTTGGAAAATGTATTAGCATGAACAAACCGATGAGGAATAATGGATGGGAATGACAGAATGAGAACACACGGAAAAGAATTCAAAGTTACAGCAAAGGAAAATACATTTCAAAGCTGTGTTTTGGCGACTTCAACCACCACCAACTCAGGCAGTACAGACAGAGACAAGCCAGTGTGGAAGTGAGGTCATGCAATTTTAACTGACTGCTAGCATTTCCATTGCAGGCTTGAAATCACTGCTCCTAAGCCTTACTTGTATTTTGCACATCCTGAGTACTGAAAAACATTGTTGTAAAGGAAATGCTTCCCCCGCATCTGATTTTTCTGTTGCTGTTGTTCTGTTCAATAATGCACTGAGATATAATACTTTTCCCAGTTCTGCCTTGCAACTATCCTATCATAATGAATTAAGGTTGATCAAACAGTCCTCCCATGAAATCAAGCTTATGCAGAAATGACAGCTTAAGCCTTGAAAATTGAGCTGTTATTTATTACTGCAGGATCTGGATTTCATGCTAACACTTGCTGCTGCAATAATGATGCAACCAAACAGAATATCCTATGTCAGTGACTAATTGAAGCCCGATCAAAAGAAAATAGCAGTATGATATTACATAGCTTATTTATAGGTTCTGTTTTCCTAGACAATTAATCCAAGTATTTACATTTAATTGTTAGATTTCAAATCCCAGTAATGGATTGGATATTGTTCCATTAAGTTATATACTGCATACATTTCACTGCCAACAAGTTGAAACTGGTTTGGTAATTTAGAATAGGAAAAGAGAAAGCAGTTTAACAATGGTGGATTCAGCAGGAATAGAAATTGTGCTTGATTAAAAGGGGAGAGAAAAACAGTGGGTGTGTCTTAACAGTTTAATTTAGCTAATCTCTTTTCCTAGGCACTGAATTCATAAACAAAAAGGTAGACTCTGTACATACCTGATACCTGCTGCAAGACAGTGTGCTCCTGCATTTGAATGGTAGGGGCCCTTCTTGGTTTGGTCAAGTCTGAAGCACTTGATATAAACCCGGGGGCTGCTGTTGGAACAAGCACTTCTCCCAGTCCAGGCAAGGAGCCTAATATCCCTTCATGGTAAAGTTTCCTAAGGAAATAATTCTGTGTTATCACGCCACATGCACCTGACTGCTGGCAGTTCTCTGCTCTCCGTAGCTTCTGTCCCAGTTAAGTTCAGCCACGTGCCAGAGGGGTCAGGGCCTCGGGCCTGGCCCCTGCGGGCCGTACCTACAAAGCCTTGAAGGAGAGACAGGGAAAGCCGAGCGCTGGTAGTTGTGCTGCTCCTGGAACTGCTTCATCTTTGTTACTAAAATGCATTTGGACTGCTTGGAAACCTACTAACACAGATTAAAAAGAGATGAACATTCAGAAGTTGAAGAAGTTGAAAGTTAATGGATTAAAATGCCACAGGACAAGCATCCACTTCTGACAAAAACCTGCAAGCCAGCAGGAATTTTTGCACATGGTTGGCCTGTCTAAACTGTATTAGCAGAAAAATCAGAAAGGCTTACACAGACTGTGAGAATCTGATCTCTGCAGGTATTGATCACAAATACCCCTAAATTAAGGCGTTTCATCTCTAGGAACTTTGGGGGATGACTGGACATTGATTTCCATGCACAGAGGAGGGCATGAGGGAGGAGCGCTGAAGGTTGTGCAGTAAGGGGGACTTACACAGAATCCCTCTGGAAGCACAGCTCTTGAAAGCAGCTCCTTTTTTCTCTCATTTGGCTTCTGTGTTACACATACTCGACTTTACCATTGGCAGAATTAGTTCTACAGCAACAGAAAATGGAAATAGGTTGGGTGGGAAAAGAAAAACAGGAGGACAAAAAAGTATTTCCTGGGTGATCTTACATTAACATGTCAAATCAAAGCCCTTATTTTCTGTATCTTTAGCTGTTCTGTTCCATTTATTGCAGAAGCATTTCTAAATATTGGATCAAATTTATAGATTTCAACATTTTCAAAGTACTTTACCAACAAACACTGAATAATCATATAGACAGCAGTGGGATCTGAGGCAGGGGAGGGGTCTTTTAATTATTCATGTTGGAAATTTTAGGGAGATTTAATAGATTGAAGGTCATAACAGAAATAAAATTGCAACTGAAAAAACCCTTCAACACAGTTTCTGCTAAAGCAGAGTTGCACTATGAGGTCCAGTGAGAACAAGGCTCCACAGGACTTCTCAAAAAAATAACCCCTGTTCTTTAGCTGACCACATGGAAAGGCATTTGCTTGGATAAGGCTAAAATACCCACTGGTCCATTGTCACCAATCCTGTCCCCCTTACGACAATTTAGAACAACAAATTTTGCTTAAATTCAGTCCATGGCAAGCCTTCATGCTTGTGTTTGCAGAGTCTTGTTGCAGAAGGTTGGCATCGCGCAGCAGCACAAGGAAAGGGGGGCAGCGTAGGGCACCACACTACAGTAGGAAATATTCTATTGTATCCCTGAGAGTAATTTCAGTCTGGTCAGAACTGACACTTGAAAACTAGTGCATAATCACTAACCCTGACAATTACCATCTGATGAGTGTCATGGACAGCAAAATAGCAGTAATATCCCTTTGTGTTTGTGAAATAGTCTGTGGACTAATAAACTAGCTACCACTGTCTGAATTCCACATTTCATTGCTCCAGAAATTGAGAGTGTGTTTTGTGAAGTTTCAGTTTACTCTGAAATCTGTCAACTGCAGACTTTAGCCTGCTGCCTCTAAGATGCCTGAAATGGAAGACTATCTAACGCAGGTGCCCAACTTGGTTTGAGATAGTTAAGTATACAGCGATTTTCCACTTACATACATTACCTGCATAGCCAAATACCTAGAAAAGCATGGGAGTCATTGCATAGTCTTAGGGATGACAGATGATCATAAGCTGTAGTCCTACTCAGTACATTTTGCAAAATTAATATTAAAAAATACCCAAAATTGAGCTGGACTGTTTGCCCAGTTTGCTTGCATGGCTAAACCACGTCTGCTTCACCAGAAAACTGATCCAAGCCTGCTCGGTTCAAAAAAGGTTTGCAGGTAACCTCCGCCTTTTGCTGCTGAAGGTCTGCACGCATCCTTGTACAAACGCAATGTCTCTCCTTCCTTGCTGTCAGGGCAATTACGCTTGAGCCTCCTTCTGCTTTGGCTGGCAGGTTGGCACCCGCACCCTCACACGCCGCTAGCCGGGTGCTCTGAGTAAGCACTGCCCCTTGGGTGGCTGCTTTCCCTGTCAAAGTGCAGGGCCTTTGTACGCAAGCGGAAATTTGTCCCAGGTGATGACAACGTAAGAATTTCAAAACCCAGAATTCAGAATATCCCTCTTTCTCATTCTCTTTTTGGAAGACCTTTCCAGATTCGGGGATACTGCAAGACAAGTTCCCAGACATTTTCAAGTGTGTGTCAAAGGTATGAGACGCTGTCCAGCAATACAAAATATATACTACTTGAAATGTATTGCAAGTTTTTCAACCTTCCTAAGTGATCCCTAACCTCACACCCTTGGTGATTTCAAGGAGGGTTGTGGGGTAAAGTACTGAAATAGACAAAATGAAGGCAGAAAAAAAAAAAACAAAAAACAACCCAAACCCCACCACATCAAAACCAGAAAAATAGTAAAAGATAGTTTCAGTATGACAATTTTTCATGAGATGGAGACTTCCAGAAAAGCCCACAGTCACTACTAACAGTGGGTTAGTACACTTTCTATCAAGGTATTTACTAACAAATTCTGGATATTCGCTCTGGCTTCAGCATTTAAACTTTAAAACCATAGATAGCTCCAAACTCTTAATGCAAGACCTTCTATCAGTTTCTAGTTTAATACCCAAGCTATTGCTTATCTATACATTGAAGCAATAATTGAATACAGACTTGAGAACAGCTTTTACCTGCACACAAAACTACTTTTGTAGGTCACAGACTTGTGACCTGGAGTCCAAACTTAATGTAAGATAAACTAGGCACTCTGCTATTATGAGAAATCCTGAGAAGGGAAGACAAAGATGAAAAATTAGTGAAGCAATTATTACCGAAATAAACTAATTTAAGTTTTTCATTCCAGTCCTTTAAAGATTGTTTCCTAACTTGCAAGTACTGAAGACAAATCCTACCCTGAAGGCCAAGTTATTGCATGTTCTCTTTTTTAAACTTCTTTGGAAAATACTTGCCCTGCAACAAGAAAGAGACGATTGTTAAGCGATCTGAATATTGTTTTACAAGTATTTGAAGAGATTTGTGATAATGAGCGCTTGTAACAAAGAACATAACATCCAACTGCTGAAAACTTAATTGAGAAGAAGTCAAAACGGCATTTTTAAGAATTAGGCTACTGGAATAATTTGTGTAGGAAACTGGCATTTTAAAATCAGAAGTAATGTTTAATACATCTTGTCTCCAGCTTTATTGCAGCACCCATATCTACTGGGCTTCTGCTAAATCCGTTCATCAGCACTGCCCCTTACCAGGCTCTACCAGTGGATCCCTCCTGAGGGTCTTTCTCACATATGTAACCGTCTTAAGCCTCTGTCCTCGTTTCCAGACTGCAAGGCAGAGTAGCACGAGGACTGAAACAGCAGAATGACGTTATAAAAGAACAAGTTCCTTCACCAGCTGCAAAGTGTAAGGCGCGAGAGGTTTCTAAAGCACACTGTGTGGATCTAATGCCCATTTTCTGTACCCACTGTTCCCCACCTCCCTCACAGGCACAGCTGTGTACAGTGCGGATGCTCATCATCGTGAGAGAACCTTTAAAAAAAACCACATTTAATGAAAACTAAGTGTTTACTATGGTAATTCTGGCAGAAACTTAAACTACCACCTCATTGTTTGGGTGTTTCTTAGACGAGTATCCTTACATTTAACATATGAGAATGGATATCCGATCGCTTCAAGTTCACTGTTGAAAATGTACATGGAGTTTAGAAGGGAGGAGGTGGAAAAAAAAGCCAAGCACCTGGAAAACACTTCATTGCTTCTTTATTTAGATGCACCCACAGTACAGAGCCTCTTGAGCATGTGCAAAAGAGGAGGATTACACATTTATAGCTGGGAGCACCATTGAGTTTGAGTTTCTTGATACCATTTTTAAGAAAGTAAACTATTTCCAAAGAATGACATTTGAATCCAAGAGCTTAAGACTTGCTTGTATTTTATCCAGAGGTGGAAGGTATTTTTCTTTTATTATTACTTTGATGTAGAGTAGAAGACATTTTCACAGTCTGGTTGGACCAGTCTATATATTTTCATATGCACCTTTTAATATATATAAAAAATGTTTCATTTTTCCCCCCTACCCACTGATAGTTAAATGCATCCAAGTTTAAAAACAGTAATGGACCAGAGCATTCCTATGGGGAAAAATGAACTTTTGCTGCCCTCTCCTGCTTAAACAATGAAATGCTAAAATATTAAGATCTATGAATCTAATGCTAACCTTTAAACAAAAAGCATGACAGGTCATTCGCTATACTACAATCAAAAATAGGACAACAACAAGAAATGTATCGATACTATTTATATTTGAAAACTCCTCATCGTTACATGAGGTTATGAATACAACATATTTACAGTAAGTGATCCAAATAACAAAAACTTGTATTCAGAGAGGTCATGATAAAAAGTGTATGCTTCTGTGGATGGGAAGCAACACTTGGATAAAAGTTTTCAATCAAAATTAGTTCCATTCCATTTCAAGATACTGTTTCATAGACTTCAAAATGAAAAACTGGGCTATACAAAATCTGCTGCACATATCAACTTGAAAAACTAATTTGTGGCTCACTACAGAGCTGCTATGGGAAGCAAGTGAGTCAAAATAAAAAAGCCAGATGTAAATAAAAACATTCTTCAATCTTGCGCATTGTCACCTTTTTATCATTTCAGGGCAACTGCTTTGTGATGATATTGTTACACAACTAAGAGAAAAGGCCATCTTTGTTCTCCAAGACAGAACTAAAAGCGAATTATTTCAGTTTTATCTAGGGGGAGAAAAATCTAGTCTCTCCTCGTCCTCCTCACAAAACAACAAAAAGGTTTTTAAAGCTCCTAATATGTTTTCCTTTCCATAGAGTGAGAGAGCCTGAGGCTGTACTTATGCACGTATAATGTAAGTACAGCTGCTGTATTTCTTACTCAAGCAATTCTTGGCTCCAACACCCTCTATTTTTCCATATATAGGAGGAGATAAAAAAAATAAATTAAATAATTTCATTTCTCCTAACAAAACCAAGATTAAATTTACTGTAACCCTGCTAGTGAACACTCCAATGGCATTAGAATACTTGTATTTAAAGCATTCCAACCTTTGGAAGAGAGACAAAAAACACTCAAAAGCAATGAAAGGAAAACAATAAGGGAGACTGGCAAGACGAAGAAAGCAATGTGTGCTCAATTTAAAGTATATGAGAGGAACTTTACTTTTACAGTTGTTTTATCCCCATGACCTGATGCAATGCCCTATTATTCAAAACGCAGCTCTTTGCTTTTACCAGAGAGCATTCAATCCTTTCTCCTGAAACCAATATGGTACAGGACATGAGTGACCACCCAACAACTGCTGCACAAGCAGTTAATCAAAACATTTACACAAATAAAGGTAGTTTCTGGAACTCAAGAAGCAAACGAAAGCATAATTAAAGAGACGCACTGATCACACTTGGGCCCATATGCTGCCTTCTTCTTTGCCTACAACTCCAACTGATACCAAGGGAGCTCTGCAGAGTGGCAGGACATCGCATTTGGATTGCGGCAAACAGCGGATCCCGGGGGTACGGTCGTATCATTGTGGCAAGTGCTTCTTCACGTACATCGCACAGTGCAACCTACTGTCATACCAGACTTTTAGAGTCAAGTGACTAATATCACATTGTCTCATTCACTTTAAAGAAACATTCCTTCTCGGAAGTGATAAATCATCTATAAACTTTAGATACTCCCCACTATCCCCACATTAGAGGTAACATCAGAGGTAACAAAATATTGCAACCCATCAGGTTCTCATCAGTTTTGTATGATCAATACCAGAATGTCATGTCAAAACCAAAAATAGTTATGAACAAACAACACTCACCTAAACTCTAAGTATAGGACAAGGTGCTTTTGCTAATTTCACATTGTTGTGTTTTACTCCACCAGGTGGAAAACATTCTTCTCTTTTCCTCCTCTCTATCTCAGTTTTTCACAATTGAACATAGTCTTTGAGCATGAGTTTAAGTCCACCCTCTTGCAAAGCATGATCATTTCACACAGAAATCACACTAGCAAGTATTTGTTTGGTAACAGAAATAAAAGACTGTCAAAATCAATGGGCTAAGGGACATGATTTGTTATAAATTTATTTAATCTTCAGTATTTAAGCTTGCACCTTTGCTTCAGCACTTTAAAATAAAATGTTTCAACTATGACAGTAACTGCCTAATTTACATTGCGTCCCAGTCAGTGTTCTTAAAAGAAGCTCATATTAATCCCATTAAACCATGTTGTGTTTGGTGTTGCATATGACTAATTCCACTTTTTTTCCCAGAATTAACAGTGTCAAGTTTTTACAAAATCATTGAGTTTACAACATTTGTCTGCGCAGACCCAGGAGTACAAACTGTGACCTGATAATCCTGAAACAGTCAGTAGTCTAGGAGGGAATTCTTTTTTAACTCTTTTCCGTGCCTGAAAACAAGAAAACTTCAAATCCTACTGTATATTTAAATGGTAGGAAGAAAAATATACAAGCTTGTGTTTATACTGTATTTCTACCAATGCAACAGGTCATAAATTCATGTTTGCAACTATCACAAAGACTCATGAACACCAATTCAGTTTTATACTGTAAATACTGCTGGATTGATGGTTTAGGATTATCAATTCACTGTTGTCATATGTCTATAACAGTTCAAAAGCATCCTGGAGAAAAATCCTGAAACACATACCTTTCGGTATATAATAATGCAACTGCATTAGCTAAATATATACTGTACATAAGTCTTATCAGCATTTTACCTACCAAAGATGTAAGATTCCACTTTCAAATACAAAGCAGATAGCCAATAATGTATACTTATAATACAGCCCTCTTCTTTGTTTTTGTATTTCTTTTTCTTTTGTTTTAAACAATTTGGTCACAATGCACCTTTGATATAAAAGCATTTTAAACTTTATTATTAATACTCAGAACATTAGGATTTCCAGAATTTTTTTCAGTAGCATTTGTAGAACCACTTTTGGTAACAAATACAGTAGTTAGGAATGAGCATCCAGATGAGAATGCAGAAGTATATTATCTAGAATCCTTTCCAGCTAAGACCATAGGGCTGGTACTGTGATGAGTAATAGTACTATAACCACAAAAACACTATAGTATGTTTCCTAGAGGCTACATCCTCTTTTGCTGGAACACTTTATAAATACATATTAAAAAGTAAGGCAACAACTCCAAACAGTCCAAACTGCTATCTCAACTCAATTTCCAATTAGATCCACATCCACTGGAGATCAATTTCATGCTTGCACTGTTTAGTGTCTGTCTTTATTCTTTTGAAATGGTCCAATATAAACATACTGTAATAATTTAGCAATTAGTATTTCTAAAACAACTCCGGTATGTGTGTCCAATGCCGTTTCACTAATACTGGTTAGGTACTGAAGTCCAGGGTGTTACCACCGCCCGTTTTTAAAGGATTGTGGACACTCATTTGGATTTGCAATAAATAGGTGCATGAATCCAAAGCTCCCTTTCCTACTATGTTTATCACCTACTTGTTTTTTAACTCCTAATGTTCAAATTAAGGAAGCACCAGAGACTGCCCGGTACTAACAAAAATGCTCACACCAGTAAACAAAACTTTTATTCAGGACCTATGCTTTTCATGGCCCTGATCTAAATGGACATTCAACTTATGAAGATGTGCAAAAGGAAAAAAAGTCAAATTACAGTAAAGTTATCCAGAGAAGGAGGATGTTACACAAACTCATAAGGAAATGACAGTCTTTTTTCTCTTTTACTATAAATACACTTAACATTTTAGCAGAAAGACAAGCTAAATTTTAAGATTGTTCACATTTGAAAGTTGTATTATACTCTCTGCTAACGATAAATAAGGAACAGGTCCTGACAATGGAATTTGACATCGCAATTTTCATCAACAGATCTTTGAAGACTGGATTTAAAGAAGGGTTAAAACAATGATTATGTTTGCAAAGTTCTGAGAAGTCCATCTGCTGTCCAAACTTTGGATTAAAGTCCTTATTTTTTTCCTTTACTTAGAGACAGGTATATACAGTGCTGTTGTAATAATGAAACAAATGTGAAATCTACTGTAAAGTTGCACAATACAGAAAACTGTTGCTCCATCTTCTACTACATAAATGTGTGACTCCACAGGTTAATAATGCTGTTTTGTTTTTTTGTTAAGTTGGAATTATTCCATCACGTCTAAGACCTCTCTTTAATTCCAAATCCTCCAGTTTTTTCCACAGTTCTTCACGCTCTTTCTCTTTCTTCTTCTCACTAACAGATGAAATAAAACAAAGAGTTAGCAGGAGAGAAGGCTGTAGAATATTTATGTTTAAAAATATACAGTTGACATTAATTAGCAGCACTAATTTTGTGGAACATAACTGCAATTTTCCTAACATGCATTTAATTTTTAAAACAATTTTTTCTTTTATTTCAGTACCTACATAAATTTCACTAAACAAAGCAGTACAAAACCAACATAAAATGTGAGCTGAACAAGGTGACAGTGTTCATAGATGCTAATTTGTAAAGCAGAAGGAAAAACTGCACTGGACTTTTATTATGGAACAAAGATGATATGATTATAAAAATTAACTTTTCACGACTAACTGGCCTTTATTTAAGCAAGTGTCTTTTTAATCTTATAAATAACATCCACTTTCTAGAACAAGCATTCCCTTATCCTTTTAGAATCACTGTTCGTAGTTATATTGACTGATGGCTTTCATATAGCTTAGGTACCAGCCAAGGGAAAGTTTTGACCTACAAGACGTACCTGTTTTTTGTTCAGTGATTTACTCTTTTTCCTTACCAAATTCCTACAAGGTCTATGTAGCACTTGCTTTAACAACAGACTTTAACAGCTGATTTGATAAAATTAAACAGCTAACCTAACATTTATTTTACCTGCATTATTTGCTTTCTAAATTTCCTGTCTCTGACACAGCTTGCTTTAAACAAATCTCCTTGATACAGCAAAGCACAAAATGCTTTCAGTTTCTATCACAACACCTTGTAGGTTTAGATGAAATGGAAATCTAACAATTTCAGAGATAAAGATTCTCTGACAGTCACATTAGAGAATTCTTGGAAAATATTTCAACAGATTAGAAACATTCCTACACATCTTGATTCGGTCAAAGTACCAACATCTGGCTCAATTATTTGAAAATTCAATTTCCCAAGAGTATTTTAAACACATAAAAAAATACAAAACTTTCTGATAAATCCCTGAAGAACAGTTTTAATAATAATAAAAAAAAAGTGCTCACTGTCACCAGAAAGTATTTAAGATTGAATATAAGTGAAATAGCCTGACATTTTCCTGCTACTTACCAGGTATTTATCTTCTAATCATTACGAAATACATGCCTGCTTACCTACAAGACTGTTAGAGGATGATCACCTCATCCAACTTACCTATTTGACCTATCCTAGTCATTATTATTGAACATACTTCTCCCTCAAGCTTTAAGTGATATCAAAGCTACCCTTTTGAAATGTGGTTTTATTAAGATGTTAAAGATTTTCTGTAAACATTAAGGTAAATATACCAGTTTATACATTCAGGTATTTACAGGTTTTAAAATACTAAGTAGTAAATAAAAGCAGTGAAATGGTTAGCACCAACCTTGATAGGAGATACAATGTCAGTAGGTGCAGAAAAATTCTTTGTGCAGTTCAGTCAATAAATCTCACCCATTATCCAGACACAGGGCATGCTACTACAGTGTCTAGTCCTGTTAAGAGCAGTGTTCCTTATCTTAAGGGGCAAAGTGCAATCACAAATTGATTTAAGTCACTGAGGTCACTCAGTAAATGGCTGGATCAGATGGCTGGACCAGTCCTAAGATTCTCTGCCTTTCCTGCTCTAAAACCAAGACAGTGTTGTTTCATCTGCCCTTATTGATTGAGCCTTATATATCAACATCTATCTAGAATTCATCTAGTATCTTAGCTCAAATATAGATCTAAGTCTCTAAAAGTAAAATGCTGTATTAATGAACTAACCTGTTACGTGTAGATTTTTTGCATATAGAACTTTGTATTTTACAACAACAAAGCAGAACAAAAGGACAGCGTGACTCCAGTCACACAATTCAAAAAGCATGGCCTCCGAGAGCCTTTAGAGACTACACTAACCTAGCAAGGTCTAATGACATACAGTACCCTTTTCTTTGCTTGAGGGAACCCCGAGTCACAGAAAAGGGAAGACTTAAATGAAGCTGCAAACTGTTCAGCGTTCCTGAAGTTTACTCTTTTTTTTTTTTTTCACCTGACGCTTTGGATAAGCTGAAACTTGTGAGAAAAGATGCTGCACTATAATTGGAAAATTAAGATTAAGAAAAACAGGAGAAAAGTCAAAAAGCATTTTACTAGGGTGGAACTAATGATCATATGAGTGGTGTATCTAATGGATCCTGCATGCTAAAAGACTCAAATACCGCAAGACCTCTGAATAAGAAATTAAAGGGTTGAGAGATTCCTCTCTGCTTTAAGACCACATCTAGACTACAAACAGTAGGTTGGAAAATCAAATGTTAGGGGTTTTCCTCATGTCTCTTGTGTTACTTTTTTTAAGTCTTTAAGCAAAATGCTATCTTCAGACCCTTGTTTTTCTTTCATTTTTTAAGATCTTGATACATTTTAGTGTTTCAGAATGAAGAGTCAAAAGGAATTCCATGAGGAATGTGGATTCCCAAGTGATGCACTGGATACTGTATTTTATACGGGGTAAAGAACAATCTGTACATGATCATATCTAACATCTTGCAATGAGAAGGCTAAAGAGCACGTAAGGGGAAAAATGAGGCATTGTGTCTATTATGTGTGAGATTATGCAATTGCATCTGAGTGCAAGGGAAAAACTAAACAGCAGGCCTTATGCACAGCTGACAAAAAAAGCTTTAAAAAGTTACCGCTGACGATCTGACTTGTAAGTGGCTGTCAGCTCGTCAAACATGGTGCTGTTCATTTCCATAAATGCCTTCAACACATTGTAGACTAAAGCCACAATAGCCCTGTGAAACATTAAAAAGGAAAAAAGAAAGGAATCCATTAGTTTCGGGTGAAATCAAACATGAAATAGTCTTCTCGTACCAGCATTTCTGCAACCAATTCTGCTCTTGCAAGTATAATGTAAATTCTTTGATTTCAGTGAAACTACTTTCGATTAATGTATTTAAAGGTGCAAATCATCCTTCACGTCTCTACCAACTATTTAAATGGAGCAAACCAAAACTCTAGGGTAAAACGTAACAGAAGAAAGGTACTACATATAACTACAGACTCATGCTGTGGAGCAATTCTGAATGCAACTCCAGGGATTCAAATTATCAATGCTAGCAGAAGGAATAGAATTTAAACACAAAATGGGAGTGATTCATATTTCCTTATGATTTTTCTATGAAACTGAATATTCAGTGCATCTATGCAAAATACAAGGCAGTATTTCAAGAGTCATTTCCTTGTACTCGTACGTTTCATATTCATTTTCACTTTGGTACAGCAAAAAAACACTTAAAAAACCCTACAAATTCTTCATATGAGTGCTGCAGTATCTGTGTAAAACCCTCTGTGTGTATATATATATTTGATAGATTTAAAAACTATATAATATCTATATCTCTCTCTCTAACCTCCACCTACTTTGCTTATTGCTGTTCCTGACCTTACCCAAGAGTCAATACACCACTGCTTATGTGAATTTGAGTTGTTTAAATGCATAAAACATGATAGGCATAATCTTTTCATACAGGAAGAAATTATGTATAATAATAATTTCATAAAGGCTTCAAAGGCATTCTGTCCCCCAATAGTTCAAAAAAGGTAGAATCAGTTTACCCTTTTATACCATCTGACTGGGTATCTAACCTAAAACATACTAGAATTTCTGAAGCAAGATGGGTCTGCCAATAGTCTGATTATCTAGAGGTCAAAATTCCTTTCTGGCAGAGTTGAAGATAAAGAAACAGCAAAGTAGCTGAAAAAAAAGAAGGGAAAGAAACAAATCTAAAAAATTTTCAAAGAATTTGAAATAGATTATCAATCAAGAGATCCCAGTTCCTGATCCACTACTATGGTTGTCATATTCAGACATGGAGCTGCTTAAGAACCAGCTCTTCAGCCAGGAGGCAGCGAATCAACATCCCTGGTGCTGGGAACCTTTGGAGCTAACCTACACAGCAGACACAAACTATGTGCCATTTCCCACGCACCCCTGTCTATCATTCACCTCTTTCAGTAAAATTTTTGTTGCCTACATTTAAAAATGTTCATAGAAACAGAAAATTTCTTTAAATACCTTCATTATTTTACATGTACCTTAACCTATCTTGTGTGTCAAGGCTACAAAATTCCTGCTGGTATGAAAACTCTGAGAACTGGGATACTGGAATATTCTCATTACCAGAAGCTTCCTAGTCCATAGTATAAAAGGTTGGGCAGGAGCACGGGCAGGTTGGAGACTGTTAATGCGGTACTATGCCACGGACAGTGTCTCTTTGTGACCAGCGTTAGCCACAGAAGCTTTTCAGTAGCATTAGATTCATCATGTAATCACACAAACTTGAGGGTTCAGGTAGGTACAGAACAAAATGATTAATGTTTCGAAAGATTAAATATTTTCCAATTACTTTAGAGTAAGGTCTTAAAGCAATTAGGACCTTAACACAGCACAGCTCATTAAAAATACTGAGTCTACTAAATGGTAACCATCTTGACTTAGAAAAACATTTCAACTGAAGTATAGAATACATGGCATCTAGCAGGAATAGTATTTTTCATTGAAACACTTTCTATTAGGTCACTCAGTTTAAAAATAAAAATGCCAAATTAACAGCACATTGATACGAAGCAACTGCTCTATTACTGTGTATAATAGAGAATAGCTGTACTTAATTAAATTTAGAAAGAAACACCTAACCTAAGAATATACTGATGTCTAATATGCTTCATAGATATTTAGAAAAAATGCCAGTACCAGAGACCTACCAGAAGTATCAGAATCATCCATGATAGAGACACAAAGTTTTATTAATGCCTAGCAATACTCTTCCTTAGACAATTTACAATCAGGCTGAAGACGTTATCCAGTTTATAAAAAATTGCGTAGGAGAAATGCTTGATGAGCAACACTTTTTCTTCAATAACAGAGTAACATCTAATTTATCTTTTTTCCAACTTGTGAGAAGGTCTATTTTTATCCCATAAGGTACTGATTTTTGCACATGTACCAGGTAATTGAAAACATTTTGAGACCAGCTCAAGTACAGACTAACTTCTATTGGCATTAATAGAGTTGCACCTGCTCCTACCAGCTTTGAATTTGGATCTCTCCCGTTCAGTTGTTCTTCAGCAGACATAACCCAAGTTAATCAGTGGTATGTCAAATGGTAAGATAAAGAAAGTGTAACAGCAAAAACTTACGGATTCCAGTGCTCTTTAGAAATCCTATAAAGGCTGGAAAACATGATGGGAAGTATAACATTTGAATTCTCTTCTATCAAACTCATGATGTATTCGTTATTCCAATAATACAGTGCTCTTTCAGCCACCTTTGAGTCAAAGGAATAAAATATTAACAGGAATTCACATACCTATAATTTTGTAATTTTCTGAAGGAAAAACAAATCACAGAGAAATTTCGCAAAGATTAATTAGCAGGAATCATTAACTTTGGAATTAAAACTCTAATCAGTAGTGTAACATGCATTAATGGAATTAAGTTTTTATCCTATAATTCAGATCCACCAGCATCCACTCTCTCTTCCCCCTGAGCAATATGTTGTTACTCACTGAAGACCAGGTGCAGACACTGCATTAATGCTGCAGCTGTGGAAGGAAAGGGAGAGCAGACAGACTTCCCATCGCCCCTTTCCCTCACTCCTGTGACTGCAGTCGCAAGACAGCAGTGCTGGGATCCCAGAGGAAGGAGACAGGGAAAGGCCCAGTAGCTGGGTTGAATAAGGGGGGAGAAATCTCAAGTGTGGGGAGGGTACTAAGGATAATAATCACCCTGGGAAGGAGTTGGGGGGGTAAGAGGGAAAATACTGATCTAAATTATGCTAAGAACAAATGTAGTCCAAGGAAGAGCCTTAAAGAGTCATATCTGCCTTTGTGCCAGAATATGTCACCTAGCTTAATATGGAGACACTACAGGCCATAAATCCTATCTCCTCTTCACATATGCTTCAACTTCAATCCTATTCATCCCCCTTCTTCCCTTTATGCAATATGAAGAAAACAGACTATGGGTAATATCACCTCTAACCAGACTCCTCCTTGCAGAAGGAAGTAGGAAAACAAGAATGCTGCACAACACAGTGCTAAAAAAGGGAGAAAATACATCCTATGTGGTCTATCAGCCCAAAGGCCATACATTGAGTACCCGTCACCTACAGTCAGAAGAGCTCAAAGTCTGCTTGGATACAGCTTAAGGACTTATGTGGCTCAGAATGTCAAGGTCTGTGCTGTAACCCCAGACATATCTACGGTTATTCACGTTTCTCAGAACTCAACTTCCACTGCAACATACTCTCTTCCATAGAAATCCAGAAGACAAATATTTAAAACCACATAACCTAAAAAAATAGTTACGTCTGGGGGCTGTTATGTTTTAAATTGAGACTATACATTCCTATACAAACGATAACCTCTACCACTGACCTGAAAATGAGGGCTAGAAACACACTTGGCAATTTGTTTAAACAAGGGTTCCTGGATTTTGACAAATTGTGATGGTTCAATTACATCCAAGATTTCCTCCAGCTCTCCTAGGAACATGACCTAAAGACAAGGAAAGAAGCATTGAATATAAAACCTCTGAATCATCTTGATCAGCAAAATGCTGGTAACCCTCAAATTCCACCACTTCAGGGAGAAATGGAAGCCTCACTAGCTCAGCAAGACCCTCTGAAAAAATGTGACCGCTTCTACCTTCAGCAGCTTCTGGATTCAGTCTCTTAAAAGAAGGAGGACAAGCATGTACAAATGCTTTATTTAAAGCAGACCTTCACAACAAAATTCAGAATTGCACCAGTGTATCCATGCTGAAAATCTAGACTCATAGAGACAAAGAATTTGACCAAGGCTTAAACTTTCTTAACTAAGGAGAGTCTCTTAATTTTACGTTATTTTTGGAACCAATATTTAAAATAACTGTTCTGCTGTGTCACAAAATCTCATTAGGGAAACTCAGATTTGCATCAAGAATTTGAAATTAAAAGGCAAAGGTGTAACTGCATCGTTTACATGTTTAGTACATAAACATCAGACAATAAAATATCTTTCATCCTACCTGGAAAAATACTATCCTCACTTATAAACAATTCCAAATCTAACAGGGTTTTCCAATCTATCCTCAACTGTATTTATTTTCTCCTTTCTAAAACAAAAAGAAATTCTCTGCAGAACCAGCAGTGCTTATTTTGTGAATAAAACCCACTGTTATCAAACTTTTCTCTCTGTAGTCAAAACTGCCCCAAAAAAACAGAATTCAAGTATGGAAAATTCACCTACAAGAATTAATACCAAGATCTACCACAGCATGTGCTGTCTACCTGGAAATCTCAAGATTCCCCGCCTATTATACCATAGAACAAAATAACTCTTATGTTTTGTTAATACTAGCATATCATTTACCTCTTTCTGACTGCAGGTTTTTGGCCAGAATTTCATTAAACCCCTAATGACCTGAAATATAAGGAGAAAAAAGTTAGATTTTTTTACTTTTCTCTCAACAGGGTAAGCAGTTTAAGATGCAAAAACAAGAATGAAAGAAATATTTACTGGTTCTGTGAGTGAGGGGTCTTTCTCCAGAAACTGTACTATGCAATACGCCAGCTGTGAAGTAGTAAAGATTTCAGAAAATTAAAGTTAGAACATTTCTATAAAGAAACCATAAAGAAACAATTTAAAAAAAAAAAAAAAAAAACAAAACAAAACAGAAAACAAAACCTCACGGCAAGATGCTATACAGCTTTCTCAAACTGCATTCAATTTTAAACTGAGATGCATAGTTTGCACTGTGCAAATCCACTCTAAGATCATTACATAAGAAACAACAGATTACCCCAAAAAATTAGGGTGACAAAGTAGCACATACAATAAAAATCAGAGCAACTTCGAACTCTAAACACAGTCATACAACCAACGTTGGAGCTTCTGCTACTCTCTGAAACTGCATTTTTCTACACATTTTATACATTGGCAAAGTCATGAAAACTCTTGCGAGATGAGCCAACACAAGTAAACCTGAAATAACGTATTTAGAAAGCACAGCTTTATGAGCATAAGAAAGACTGCACTATCCGAATCGGAGAGAAAGGCACCAGGTATCACTTATTACACCATGAAAGCTGAATGTATGAAAAGATATATCAGAGCATATATGCAGTATTAAGAAATCTATGAGGGAGAATGTTAAAGATCATGAAAAATGGGGGTATTAGTATTCAGAAAGTTGCCTGGGTAAAGAAGAGCCTGGACAGCACAAGACTAAGGAAACCCAAGCATCCCCTAGGAGAAGGAATGGGAAAGTCAAACTTGTGAGAATGAGAAAATAGCAGAAAGGAAAACATAGAGAGAGTTTAATTACTAAACAAAATACTAAACATACTACAGATGCATGTTACACTTAATTATCTAATCCGAAGCAAGACATTTATCATACAGAGCACATTAAATTAATTAAAAAAAAAAAAATCTATTGCGTTTTTTCCACATTTCAAAACTTCCCCCCCCACCTTTTATGTGCTAAGCAATTTCATTTCCAAAGCAACCTTAAAAAAATTGTATCATTCTAACTGAGCAGAAAATATTTTTATAATTTATACCTGTGCATGGAAGAGTGATAAACTCCTGACAGTATGTAAAGGGATCAGCACCTTCACCAGAAACTGTTTATGCTCTGCCTTAAGAGGTAAAGCAAACCCATTGATAATACTAGAAATTAGAAGAGAAATATTTATTAGTGCTATCATCACAGAAAACTCTCTTGATGTCTGAACAAGCATTTTCTAGATTAAAATAATCTAGCAGTCAGCACCTGTTTACAAATAGCAGACTCGTGCCATTTGTAAACAGGTGCTGACTTTTGTCCTGCTTTCTATCAGCAGTGCAGTACATATCTCGGTAGCAGTTCAGCTCTAGCTTAGGAATAACCATATAAACAGCTGCACAAACCTGTTGCCAAACAGATAAGACCTTGTCTGTCATCTGTAAATTCATGTAAGCAAGGTGTTCTTGAGTAACTAATTTAGCAGAGTTAGATTTACTCAAAATATTCACAGTGTTAGTGTGCTTCAAAAAACCTAATTTTACAGTATGTAAGGACGAAGTGCACAAAATTTAACACACACACACACACACACACACACACACACAATCAATCCAACACTTTTTGGCTTTAAGCCCACATGCAAATCTCTGTCACATCTTTGCCAAAAGTATATAACTGGATGCAAGTTAAAGATGAGCATGTGTGAACATCTGTTTTCAGAATCAGGGCTTATAGTAATACTTTTTCCAAATCCAACACTATTCTGACGTGCCCAGCTGGGAAGTTTGAGATAGATAATAAAGAAAGACTCATTTACCTCCCTAAAATTTCCAACAGTTCAGCTACACCATTGAAGTGTTCAGTTTCATAAACAAATCTAAAAAAAAAGAAAAGTTAAATACAGGTAACTATCAATTACCTAAAATGTTTGTAAGCAAAAAGTACTTTCTTTCACAACTTACCGTAGAAAAATATTATTAATCTGTTTTCGGATAAATGCTCTAAGACCCAGAAACTTGCCATAAATTCTGTGCAAGACTGTTTTTAGGTAGTCTCGTTCTCGAGGGTCTTCACTGTCAAACAACTCCAACAGCTGTATTTAAAGGAGAAAGAGAACTGAAACAGTAGACCTTTGACAAGTATGACACACAGAATTCTATACAAAAGTTAAATTCATGAAAGCACACACACGTAAGAATGTGATATCCATGTTGCCCAAGGTGTAGAAATACATTATTCAATATCTGCTGTAACCCCAGTACAACATCACAGAACTCAGTTTATTAAATTTCACTTCTGACATAACAAAACTTTGGAAATGTTCAAACTACTAATGAACTTTTGACTAACTGGCTCCAAAATGCTGCCTTCCTTCTCCCCCAAAATAAATTCTTAAATGCTGTCATATCTACACAGTAAGACAGTTTACCTCTTATCATTCACCATTCCTTCAATCTGCAGAACTAAAAGATCCTCATTTGCTATATTTTGTTCCCAAAACCCTGTGTCAAGATCACATTTTTCTAACAGCTTATAATTTATATTATGAGCTCTTAAACGTTCCTAGTGATTGCATGGCCTTCACGCTGTGGAAAGACTCAACAGTGAAGTCTATGCCAGTATGAGATTTGCTGTTCCAGGATCTCCACCAATTGACACAAATCGAAGCATCGGGCTCATTAAACCTCCAGGTTGAACAAAATGGTAACTTCAATATCCAGTTTAAAAAAAAAAAAACAAACAAACAAACAAAAAAAAACACCAAACAAAACAAAGCACCCCACCTCACCCCCCTCTCCCCCCAAGAAACCCCACCCACCCAACCAAAAACAATAACAAATCACCCCCAGAGAACACACCTTTACTAAGTAATCCTTAAGTAAGATTGTTTTTATGTGGCACTCAGTCAGAAGATAATGCCATATGGTGACTTGTACTGTACAAAATATATCCTGTAACACTGACACCTGAAAATGCCTCTAAGAATAGAGGCATGAAATGAGCAGCAGGAATATCACCTGCAGATCTTTGCTCTATTCCCCTTGAATCCTCTACCACAAAAGTACGATTTTCCTCTTAACCCTTCATCTTTTTTGACACCACAACATTGGCTATTCTGGCAGTCATTTGGAATAAGTCAGAAGGTAAACTTTATTTAAAAACAAAACAACCGACCAACAAAACAACAACAACAAAACCAAACCAAACAAACAAAACAAAAACAAACAAAAAAAGAACAAATACCCCACCCGCCCCACACCTAAATGCACAGATAATAGGGAAGTTTAAGGTGCACACTCATTAGCAACCAGTATATCTCTTGCATGAAAAAGAAAGTAACTGTCAATCAGTACCTATCTTGCAAGAGAACTGAAGACAGTTTGCCAAAGAGGTCTTACAAATGTGTAAGATAGTCAGAAAATTATTACAGGAATGGCAGAAAACAAAATTATCTTGGATTCAAAATAGATAAATTATAAAGACCCATTATAAGCAGATATGTCAGTTTATGTATACCACCTGACCTCTGTTAAACTGCTACACAACTTTGGGGAGGTGGAAAAGAAAAAAGACAGAAAAATATGATTAAAAGTTGTTAAGCTGTCTGGGATTTTGCTTTCTAACATCCAGGTTTAGGACTGATGCACATACTCTTCTGCATTGTTTTGGATGTTTCTGTAGCTTGTAATGAGAACTCACTATCTTTTCCTTGCAGTAAGAATCTGTGGTGGGAATTTGATGAAGAAACGATGAGGTCTGTCAGCTGCCTTCCAGAGGTTATAAATACATTGCTTTGTTAAATTAGTTCTTCAGTTAAATAAATAAATAGTCACCTCATCATTCCCCACATAGCAAGTTTCACCCAAAGACAGCAAAGAGCTGGAAACATGTTTTTAATTTTCTTATTGGATTGCTTCTAGGAGCAAAATATTTATATTTCCAGTTCTCTTATATGGATCCTCTGTGGAAACACTGAACTAAGACCAATTATTTTGAGATGTCCAATTTGTTATCAGGTTTCAACAATAAAGTCTTATTTTTATGGATAAGCTGCAAGACTTCCATAATTTACGTGACTATTCTGACACTAAACATAGATAGAAATGGGAAATAAATTTTCCAAAATAGCAACCTACATAACATAGACACTTGTGGATATATTTGAATAGTATGTCTCTTAGCAACCACTGCCAACCATTTCAGACTGTATATAAGCAGGCTTCAGAAATGAACAGTTACACAGTTACGTACAGCATTTTATCAAAACATACAGCTGAAAGCCAGAAATGCATCTACATTCAAATAACAAAAGGAAAAAGCAAGCAAACAAGAAAAAGCTTGAAAATTGCCCATTACAAGAACCGTGTTATTTTTTTCATATAGGCATTCTTACTGCCAAGAAACAATTCATTATTTTTCCTCAAATTAAAAAAAGAACAAAACAAAACAAATTAATTTAAAAAGAAAGCTGGTTTCAAAGACTGTCACACCTGTGTTGTCAGTGTCATGAAACACCAAACATGCTTAATGTTCTTAAGTCTCAAGCTGGTTTCCTATGTAAGCGATCTGCAGTCAAAGATTCTTAGGAGTTACTCTAAACAAATAACACAGTAAGAAGTGGAAGGACACACCAGTTCCTACAGGCTAAACACAAACACTTATACACACCAAAACATATCTACTTGCATGTAGACATAAGACTCATTAGAACTTTTTACAGAAAAATGTGAATTAAATTGACACACTGTGCATAGCAATATATAAAAACACACCACCTAACCATGGGACGAGAATTTATGAATTCTTAGAATTCTTTTGAACTCTTAATTGTTGTATCATACATTTTCAGATGCGTACGTTTTAAAATCTCCTATTTCCCTCTTTCAGTAGATACCATTCTTTCATTTAGTAATTTAATAAAGACTTAGAGGATTGAAAAAAAAATAAAAATCCTTGGTTTAGACCCATTCTCCTGTGCCAAATCGTAACAGGTTTGAATGCCTTGAAAGGGTGTGAGGGGGATGCTGCCAGTCATGACCAAGTTCAACAGCAAATAACAGGAACATCTAAGAATTATTTTCTTTACATTTTGAAGTAGAACACAAGTATTCCTGCTATATCTAAAGAAAATAAAATCAGTCTGGAAGAAACTGTCAAGAGTGATTACCTCCACCCCCCCCCACACACACATATTTTTACATCTCCACCAGGTACTGGATGATCAGATTGCTGCACCCCTTGTTCAAACCAATATTTAGATGAACAAAAAGGAAACTCCACCACAGAGGTTTGATCCGGATGACAAATGCTCTTCTATTTAGAAGATGGATAAAATAAAAACGTAAGTATATTCCATTCCTTTTGTAGAGTGAAGAAAGTCTTATGATATTAAGAAGAAAACTGAGGTCCCTTCTTTGCATCTTTGAATTGAAGGATAGAAATTGCTCTCTTTGCTATGTTTTTCGGGTATTCTTCATACAAATAACATAGAAGAGCAGTAAAAGTTCTTGTATTGCATCAGCACTACAGGGGAAAATAAAAGCTCCATGACAAAGGGGTGAGAGAAAGATCTTCAGAAATGCTGAGTATCTCCTACCACTTTTAGTTTGGCTTTTATTCAAGTCTTAGGCTGCAAGGAAACTCCCTCTTTTAACTAAGTGGGAATCTTTCTAAATTTCCCTGATTTCAAAAGCAAGTTCTAAACAGCTTCATTCTGACTTTGCGGTTATACAAAAATTCATGAAGGGAACAGAAAACACGAGACAGGGCTATTCCCGAAAGCTGAAGACAAAAGTCACATCTGCGGAGTTTTCTGGCTTATCCCAGAAAACATCTTCCTTCAGCCATCTCTGTTCTGGCATCTGCCAAGGCCTGGTTGAAAATAAATTCCTCAGTAGAGAAGACCAAGTACTGTAGTTTAAAGTGAAATAAGAAGGGACACAAGAAGCCTAGCTTGTACACAAAGAGGAGAAAGATGAAATACATGTAAAATATGTGGCTACCAGCTGACTGACTGACAGAGGCCATCTCTTCCATTTAGCCGGAAAAATGGCAAGCAAACTACAAAAATAAAGCTACCCATTCTTTGCCAATGATGGTCTTTCTTCTTCCATGCTTTTAATAGAGCTTGAACTTTATAGGGCCTTTTGATTTACTTTCTCCCCAACTACTGTTTTCAGTACTGTGCTGGGAATAGGTTTGTTAATGAACTTCTGCCCCTGTTGCCAGCTCTCTAGCAGAGATAGAAAGGAGAAATATTCTCCCCTTCCAACAGAAATATTTTAACACTATTAAGACACTTTAAAACTAGTGTTTAAGTAGTCTCTCTAGATAGCAGCATTTTTAGACTACTTGATAGAAAACCTTTCATTTTTCAACAGTTACTATTTCAGCTCCCTCTCATAACCAGTAATCAAATATTTTGATTAAAGGATCAAGGCTGGATCCAAACTATTTTATATACGTATAGCAACAGAGACTGACATATAAGCACACACACATATTGCCCCTACCTCCATAGATTGAAAACTTACATTGTATATGCTTGTTCAGCATTTTGCTGTTGCAGATAAAGTTACGCTTTCAAATTCTAAACAAAATATTTTTAAAGAAATTTTTTTCAAAGGCAAAATGAAGCTTTAAAGAAAACAGATCAGCTTACCTGCAATACAAATTTCTGATCTATGTACTTTTTGGCAATGCTGGGCTGAAATTCTTGGCTTTCCAAAAATCGTATGAAAAACTCATATACAAGCTGCAAAAGAAAAAAAAATATCCACGGTTTCGTCTATGAATTGCTTCCTCTTTCTATTTTTAAGTATTCCCCTGAATTCTTTTGCTAGAAAATAAAAACCTTTTGCTCTGTGGAAAAATAAGTATAACAAAAAAAAAATTTCTCCTTTATCAAATTGCTACCTTACAGTTAGTTAATTACATGAGCTTAAGTTAGCTTTGCTTATTTCACTCCAGTCAAAGACATTCCATCACCAAGAACAGGCACTGCCTCCCTGTTAATGCTTGTTATCATCTTGTAAAGCTTCCTAAAGTAATTGAAAAGCACATTTAAACTGCCCTCTGAATTACTGCAGTCACATCAAACACATACATTACAATTTTTAAAGAGGTGGTGAAACAGCTGGAAATATTTAAATTAAATTATAAACTGCTTAGTGTTCTACTACACCTTGAAACACAGAAGAATACAAACCAGATTTTATTCAGAAGTTCCTAACTTACTGTAAAGATTAGCCTCAGGGCTGGAGAATACCTTCTTACTTCCATGCAATTCCATCTCTGCTTAAACTAATGAGTGGGACAGTAACAGACTTTTAATTTAGTGGAGAAAAAGAAAAGTATAAAAACTAGGCAAATGGAAGTGAAACAGGGACTACTGTGGCCTCCTAAGACAGCAACTCTGACCTGTCACTGGTCGGATGAGCTACCAGCTAGTAATCCTCTTTGCTGAAACTTTTCAAGAAGAGCAGCCATTGACAATTTTTTTCCTTTCTAACTTCAGTGAGCATGAATATTAATACCGGAAGGAGACAGGAAGCTAAAAATTATATTTTAAAGTAATTTCAAACTTTTCCATGCAAATACAAATATGTTGCAATACTGCTGCTGTTGCTTTATGTCAGTGTACACTTGACTTCTAAAAGGAAACAATAGGAAATCAAAACAGGGGAAGAGAGGTTTAGCAATATGACATGGAAGAAGTACCAGCTTACATAACTAATATTAAATAATCAGGAAATCATTTCCACCAACTCTTGACAAATTCTTTGGTGCATTTCTTCCTGACAAGGGTAAATCATCCACTGGCTAAGAAATTCCATCATTTCCATTAAGTAATGATTTTTAAAACTACAGCACTAGTGTCAAAAAACATAAGACAAGACATATATGCCTGTGCTGTTTCCAGGCAGGCAAAGAAACCTCTTCAGAGCTGCCTTGAAGCTTTTAATTTTTTTTTTTTTTTTTAAATTTGAATATACATGAGGGATGAAACCTACATTTCAACAGATTCTAAATTTGAGACCACAAAAGAGTGAAACAAACTCCTCACAGGCAAGGATTGCACATGCAACTGTCAAATAAAATCCTCATTTGAAGCTGAGATCACTTGTGCTCCTTTGCTCACAGAAGCTAGCAGACTCCACAAACTGTAATTCAGGTAAACTCCTTCTAAGTTTATTAGTGGTGTAAGTCATCGTCCTAACCTAGCCAGGATCTGCATCTATATTTTCTATAAAGGAATTTACTGCATTAGTATCAGTGATACTTTCTCCAAAATAAGTTTATGTTCTTTGTTCAAAATACCTTATGTTGACACTTGAGGTTCAGAAGAAGGGATGATACAAAGCAGTGAACATGCATCGTACTACAAACACCTGAAAGCAAACCTCGGCCCGGTGAGAGGAAGGACTTAGAGAGAGATGTAGCTTCTCATTCATTTTTCTCATAAGCTGCCAACACCTGTGTAGTTTTGTATGAAAATTACCCTCGGTAAAGTGAAACTGCTAGCAGTATCATCCCCACAATGCTCTTGCTGAAGCTGCTGAAAAACACTTGTGCATCAGAGCAGTTTGGAAAGTAAAATGATTTTTAAATCAATGAAGGAAAACAGGAATATGAGGGACACCATTAATACAATTTTGAAAGAAAGCTTTAACATTTTGTGAAAGTACTCTCCTGTCTTTGTAGGAACCATATTATAGCCATGAACAATATTAATAAATGTGTCTCACAAGCTAGTTCTGATTCACAGGTTAAAAAAGAGATGAGAAAATTATTAGATACATTAAGCAATGATAAGCATTCCTCTGAGATAAATGATCAAAAACCTGTAAATGGGGCCAGGATGCCTCCAAGGTGGGTTCATCTTCTTCTGGATCAAATTCATTGCTGTCACTAGGTGGGAGAGTTCTGAAGATATTGCAAGATACCTGAAAAGTGAAAGAACGAACGATGAGATCTGTTTTTCAAATAGGTACTAGATTTCAGGACTCAGTATGTCTATAACTACTCTATCCTCCATCACAGAAGCCGTATTTCTTTTGCCTGCTGTCTTACAAAGTTCTTCAGCAACAGCACACATCTTAAGGAACCTGTCACTTTACAAACCTGTCACCAGCCTTGTCTTTCCCTTCTCCAGGTCTTTTTGTTTCTTCTTTCCACTGACAGCCCAGCATTACCCCATCTGTCACCATTTCTGTCCACAACATTCCAGATGAGCCCACTAACATGTAATTCCCAATCCTGCTGGGCATCAGTGGGCTGAGAGCCACCACCGTTTAGGAGTTGCGGGCAATGCCACCAACATACATTTACAAATGTTTTCATACACTTGGTCATTTTCCTTTGCACAGGGAAAATATTAGTGATATCTGCTTAAGGTCTTGTCTGTCAGCACTTGTTAAAAGCTGCCAGTGCTACTCACACATTATATGCCTGGACACCTCATGCCAAGTATAGAACTTGGTACTAAATGCAAGCAACAAATAGTATTTCCTTGACACTTTGCCTACATTTTATTTCATGGTTGGCTCGCTTTTCTTAATCTTATTTAGAGGTATTTTTCTGAGACTGCTTGGCTTTGTGAGGTTCGTGGTATCAGCAAAGACTGAACCATAGTATTTTCCTGGGTTAATTATAGTGCTGAATGGTGTGTACAGCTTATTATGCAGCAAACATAATAAACTGCAACCATGCTGTACGGCCTCTTCTGCACTTTGAAGGTGATGTTGTGCCACCTTTACACTCTGCTCCTGCATTTGACCCACCTCTAACTGGTTAATCACACATCTGGGGAAAGCAGCATGTTATCTCCTAATCCCATCTGTACATGACCCCTTCACAGTAGTTCAGACAAACTAAGCTATTTAAGAAACAAAACTAGTATGTTCTTCAACATCCTTATTTATTTTTCCAGTCTTTTACTCCAGTGAATGTTTTAAAGTTAGTCTGTAAGGCATATTTTCAATATGCTGGCAAGTTAGTAAGAAAGGGCACTTTAAAGCCAAGAGTTTAAACACAATCCAAATACTGATAAAACCAGATTAAAACCGACTGACTTTTTAGAATTTGTGAGATAAACAGAACAGATTCAGGTGCCACATAAACAGATTAAACAAGAGGGGAAAAAAAAAATAATGTGGGAAAGCATGTGGTGCATACTAGTGAGGAATATTCACTGACCGCAAGGGAAAGAGAAAGGAAAAGTAAAGCAAACCAGTGGGCATATTTTAAAAAAAAAAAAAAAAAAGGTCAGATTTCTGCTTGGACTTTTTCCTTCTTGCCACAAGAGGGTGTATTTCACTACAGTTACAGTAAAACATACTTTTACCAAAGCCTTCACTGTATATGTAAATCTCATGTTTTCAATTCACACGGCTTTCAGCCTTAACAGATACAGCACTTACTATCACCTCTGCTGATAGACACTGAACTCCACTTGCCCTGTATGCATATCTGCCAAGTTACTATCATTTATTAGGAGATACTCTTTTTCTCTCTTCTCCATCCTCTTCCCCTGACTCATTCACTTCTCTCAAGAGAATATACATGTTATAGTTTGTCTTTCCTCAAGGATTCCTGAGCTCCTCCTTCTACTGTTCCTGATATGAAAGAGCTGGGAGAGGGAGAAAGTCATCAGAATTAGTAAGACAGTCGTTTCTGTGTTAGAGCACAGGGAAAAAGAGGGTAGACAGCCCAAAGGATTCCCAAGTGAAAAGGGTGAAGTGTGTCTGTCAGTGCCTTGGATCCAAACATCTGGGATTCTGCAATACTTACTGAAGCATTTTTGGTTAATGCTTAACATTCAAAGTTCTCAGCTTTCTCAGGATTTGGACCAAAATAGGGAACTAACAAAACCAAAGGCATTCTGCAGCTATGTTTTTTTCTGCTTTAAACTTCATTTGAAACAAGAAATAATTTTTTCTGCTAATTTAACCACACATAAATTAATGAAACTTATACCAACAGATCAGAGAAAACATAAGTGTTCATCAGCTGTTATGTTTAGAAGCTGAAACAAATACTGAATTATGGCACAAGCAAAACCTGCAAGGGAAAGTACATACTTTCAGAATGAAAAGCTAAACTAAGATGAATTCCTGTAACATTTAAATTAAGTCAAACCAGGCCTTGAGCAGTCAGTGCCAGGGCCTTAACAGCATGACAGAAGTACGAAGAGTTCAGCAACAATTAGTTAAGTGTCAGCATTGACACTTGAATCCTGAGCTTGTAACAAAACCAGTATGATTTCTAGAGAGTGCCTATTAAATAAAGGCCAGTCTCGAGGCAACTCAAAGACAGCTTTTTTGCCTAAGAAAATTAACATGCAGGAGTAAATGCAATGCAAGTTAGAATATGGTCCTAGAAAACAGTATGCTCTCTTTAATTTTCTTTTTTGCATTAGGAGTAAAGATAAGCTATATGGAGCTAAAATGTAGATATTCTCCTGGGAAGAACAGACAGAACAGGTTACCTTTACGTGATTTCCCCAGGTTATCATAATTTTAAAAGATAATGTGTGCCATTACAGCTACATTAATCACCACAACACAGCATGATAGCTCATTTACATGCAGCGTCAATTTATAGCATGCTTATCTAAATCAGTAGCCTCTGGGTGGGTAATGTTTATAAGCCTCTAAGGGAGAACCGAAGACAGCAAGTTCTTCCATGCATGAACTGCCCAGCTGCACGTTGGAGACTTTGACAGCCACCAGACAAAGATGGGAGTATGCTACATCAAATCTGGAAAGAATAATTTTTCTCAGATAGGCATGAGGTAGCTATTTGTTATTTATCCCTGGGCCCAAGCAGCATGCCCAAATTCCTTCAGCTGGATAGCTGAATCATTTCTCTTCTGCCCTCTCTGTTGGATCATCAAGCCAAAGGACATCCCTGCCAGCCTGCATAGACAATCCCTGATGAATCCTCTCCCATAGCCAACACAAATGACTATTGATCAATACTGACTTTTGTCTTCCACGGATTAGGAATGTTTCCAAGCCCAGATGATGTTTTTGTAAAGCAAACCAGAACTCTAATATTCTAGAAAGTTGTATCATGACAGATCTCCCCTATTATGTCCTCAAAGACATCTGCATGCTGTTCTCCTGACCCTTTCATGACTGACCCTTTCAGAAGCACACGCCAAACTGGGTATAGAAAAGTACATCACTGCTCCCCTGCTATGCAGAATTTGAACACCCAAGTGCCAGAAACCTATTTAACAATTCAGTAAAACCTATCTATTGGCATTGAATCTAAAATTTCCAAGATCAAGTTGGAAATGCCAAAATGATAGATTTTGAAATCAGAGGTGCCAAGAAACATCTAAGCTCCATGTCAGTGTGTCAGTCAAGCACAACTCTGAGGAGAAGCAAGACAAAAACTTTTCCAGGCAATTATAAATCAATGTCAATTCATTAAAAACAAACAGGATAGGGGAAGGCTGCTCTGATACCCTCACAAAGAATGAGCTGCAAGTTCTGAACAGATCCGATGATTGGTATCTGGCAATGCAGAACTATGAAACTATGAATGTACAGTTAAAGTAACAAGCTCCAAGAAATCTTTGATTTTATCACCACATTTATATTTGAAATAGTACTTTATTTTCTAAAAGTTAAGAGGCTTAAGACTGAAGCCAGGAATAAATGTTTTGAGAAGTCCTCTCTTTATCACTGGAGTGCTATAAAAATGACGAAGCTGTAACAGAAACACTTCACAAATTTAATTTCTGCTCCTACCCTGTGCTGTTTGAAACAAAGATTTTTATCAGTAATAGTTTTCCTGAATAGAGCTTGAAATGAAAACATACATGCAGGGAAGCTTTATGCGTTAGCTACATAAAAGCAGGCTAAGTGAATACCAAATTAGCTCATAGGGAACACCTGTCCTTCTCTTGCCAACATGTAGAACCACCCAAAAAAACCCCATGTAGATATGAAATTGATACCAAGTATCTCTGCACACACAGTGTTTACACTACTGTGCTTATTACAACATACAGTAACAATAACATGTAATTAAGCCATAAGGTGAAGCCATGCTAACTGGGAGACAACAATGGCCCCCAGACCAGACACTAAACTCGTCCTTCTAAAATACATCTGCATATGCATTTTTTTTAATATTGTTTATGGATTTACATATTTTGGAGCCTGAAGTGACTATTGCAGTCACTCAGCTGTATCATCTCTATATAACTCATTGAATTGTTCCCAGAAGTTTGGTTAAAGTACATCTTAGAAAAAGTAATACCTAATTTTATCTTAAAATATTTTAAGTGATTCCACCAGATCTCTTCTATAGTTTTATTACAAATTTAACCACAGCACTGTTTCTGATTGCAAGGTTGAAACTCCCTGATTCCTCACTGGTTCCCATTAAACCACCAGATCTCTTCTACATCTGTATATATATTTGCATATGCAGTATATATCTATTTATATAATGGTATTTTTATATAGACATGACACTTGTCAACCTCTGTGCTGCTAAATGGAAAGACAGAGCTTCTGAACACAGGCAGTTGTTGGTTTGTTTTTTTTTTTAATCCTGTGATTATTTTTGCTTCCTTCCCTTGAACTCCCACCTGTGCACAAGTGTGCTAGGGCAGTATAAAAAGACAGACATCTCCCTCTTTTTTTTTTACATGTTGCCATTTTAATTTATTGACATTCAATTCTTTGAACAGTTGCACTGTACCAGAAGCTCACATTAAGATACTCATGGTAGTAATTCACAACACTCAAGTCCTTTTCTGCACCACTGCTTGCCTGAATACAGTCTTTCAGGGCTTAATATTATATGCCTTCTTTTTGCCCAACAGCATTACTTTTGATTTGGCTGCATTAAAATGAACCACATTGGACTGCGAACACAGTCAACAATCCAGATCTGAGAGTGTGGGGAAAACAGCCCTTCTCAT